ATGTGCTCCAAAAGATAGAGGCTTATACTGGTATGTATCAGTCTCCAGACGAGTGACAGCTGCCACCAGATCAGTCAAGGGCATCCAGTCTCCCCCTTTTAACTGAGCTGAGAAAAGCTGCAGTTCGTTTGTTTGTTTGTTTTGCTATAGGTTATGTACACTCATCAGAGAGTGACAGACAGAGACGGGCAGGGGGAGAGAAATCATCTCCCACAAGGGACATAGCCACACTACAGTCCCTTCTCCTCTTGGGACCCTGGGCATGCATGCACACACACCTGATGTGATCCCCAAGCCGTAGGGTTTGGGACTTGGACCGTGGTTGACTACGTGGGAGTTCTGTGACATAACCACTATGCCATCCACTGGTCCCAAGGATGCTGGTCCCAAGGATACTTTTTATTTTTAAAGAATTACTTATTTTTTATTTATTCATTCTTTTTTTTTTTTTTTATTTTTTTTTTTTTTTTTTTTTTTTTTTTTGACCAGAGAGAGACATAGACAGCGAGAGAGAGGGAAAGCGAGAAAGCAAGCCACCAGGCCTGGGCCTCGAACCATGGTTTACCATGTGGGAGTACCTAGCACCTTAACCACCATTGCCACCTGCTGATCTCCAAGGATACTTTTTCAAAGGCAAAGTTATGACTCCTGTACAACTAAAATGAAAATGTATCACAGATTTTAATTAACTCATTAATTAATGAAGGAACCAATAAAAGATTGAAAGTGATTCAGAGGAAATCTCAAAGTACACATTCTATTTGTACATGCACACGTATAACTGGGATTGCTGAGAGGAGGGGACTTTAGTAAGATATATTTACATAGTGCACCGTCGCTCTCCTGGGAAAAGTTACTGCTAGTCATCCCAGTCTAGGGGATGGAATGGCTTCTGAGAATATTCCCTCCGGGCTGGCTCTGTGTGCGGCAGGTAAGTGCTAGCATGCAAAGCTGCATCCCACAGGGCGGGCTTGCTTGGATCCCAGCCCCAAGGCCAGACAAAGACCAGCCGCCTGAGTGCCTGTCCAGGGTCCTGGCAGAATGGAGAAAGTGTCTGCTCTCTGTCTCTATCTCTGTCTCTCGTGCTTTCTCTCTGATAGCTCATGTACCTTCTACAATAAAGGGGAAAAAGTGTTCCTTCCAACCTCTGTGCTCGCCTGTATGCCATTCTCCACCTCAGAGAGAACCAGTGTCAGAGCCACTGAGCTGAGGAGACGCGACAGGGTGGGAGTGGATACGTCTGTGGGAGATTTCCAAATCACACCCATCAGGCATTTTTTAAAAAAGGGACTAGCAGATGGTATAACGGTTACGTCGCGGAACTCCCATGTAGTCGACTGCGGTTCGAGTCCCGGACCTGGTAGCTTGAAACTCACACCAGGCACGTGTGTGTCCATGCCCAAAATCCTGAGAGGAGAACGGAGGAGAAGGGACTGCAATGTGGCCAGCCCCCTGGGCGGTGATTTCTTGCTTTCTGTCTCTCTGTCTCTCCCTTCTCTGTCTCTCCAGCCAATGCGCACACCCTATAGCAAAAATCTCTCTAAAAGAAAAAAAGTCTCAATGGTAGTGTTTTATCCAGTTTTGACAGCATTCTAAATATTTATATGACTACCAAATTTGAGTTCTAAGGCTGAAATACGTTTTGAAATGTATCAATAATAAAAAGAAAAAAGCCTCAGCTAGCCAGAGGAAATACTGAATGATCTATTTTCTTTACAGGAACTATGATAGAATAATTATCAATCGAAGAGCTGATTAAAAAAACATACAGTCAAAAAACATAGGAGGCGAGATTTATAGAGGGGTGCCAGGAAGTTAATTAATAAAAATATTGTCGCTTTTTGGATCTTGTGATGTTTTTGACATGTGTCAGCTTTTTAAAATTTATAATTAGTTGTGACTTATTTCTCATTCTAAATAAATATCCCCTTTCATGGCAACTTAAAGAGAAAATCCTTACCAATCTTTCTCTTAAATACTTCAAACTCGGGATGCTGTCTTCTACCTCTGTCTGACCCAGCTCACAGCCCTAAAGTGAACTGTGTGAATAAAAGCAGTTTGACACCATTGCCATCTGGGATGGTTAGGAAGCAAAAAGACATGTGCTAATCTTGGGCTTGTGGGCTGGATAGAAGTTGAAGAGGTGGAGTCCGAGGAGCCTGACTGTCAGACTAAGGGATTTAAGCTCATCGCACCACTGTGAGACAAAGTGTTGGCCGCTGCTTTGCCTGCCCAGAGCCCTCACCCTCTCTGGGAGCCCTGCCTTTTCCACTCCCGCCTCATGCTGTTTGGGTGGGCCTCGCTCCAGGGTTAGGCCCGTGCCCAGGTCCTTCTGATGGAAGTCGGTGCTGGGACTCCTGCTGGCCCCTTCCTGCTG